GAGAGAAGGTTTGAGAGAGAGAGAACGGATTTGCCGGAGTTTCCGTCGGAGAGTCGCCTATAGGATCCATTCCCTACTAAGACCTGTACTCTGGAGCCCTTCTTGGAGTGAAGTAAGAACTCGTGTGGAGATTTCCTCCTCTTCCCTCAAGATCAGAAACAAAAAAAAAACCCAAGGTAAGATTTCGAACTATACCTTCCAGATCTGGGATCTTTGTTGAGGAGTAGAATGATTAAGTCTACTACCTTCTTCTAGGGAAGATTCGCCGCTGATCTTGGTGAGGAAAACGGACGAAACGACGAGATCGGAGAGACTACCCAAGAACGGTAAGGATTTGACCGGACTCTTTCCGACGCTCATAACTCACCTTATGACTAAACAAAATCAAGAAAGAAATACTAGCACGTAGGTAGATAGATGATCTAAATCGTTGTTGAAGAAACCATTTCTGTTTGGATTGAGAATCGAAAAACAGAAAATGGAGAGTACCTCGGAAACTAACCGGAAAACTTTGATTCTCTGCTAGGAGGAGGGAGAAAACCGCCGGCGTACCACGTGGCAACCAGCTAGAGGGCCGCGTGCGCCAATCGCCCCCGGACACGCGTCGAGCGCCGCCTGGGAAAGCGCGGCTCCAGCTCTCCTGCAACACGCGTCTCTGGCTACGCGACCCGGACCCGCGACCCGCGACCCGCGACTGCAGAAATCTCTGGGCGCGTGACACTCGCGCGTGGGATCTGCGAGTGGCTGCTCCCCGGCGTGAGACTGGCGCGTGGAGGCGCGTGTAAGCTGATTTTTGGCCCGAACGACTTCTGTTTTCCCTAGTTTCCCCCTGATTCATATCCTAACTCCATTTGTTTGTATGAAATAGGACCTTATTGAGGAAAAATCACCCCCTCTCGATACGCCAAGTGTGTGGAAACGCTGCGTAAGGGCACGTAGCATCCAAGTAAGTCGCCACACGGAATTTAGGAAGTAATACTTGTAGGAACCGCTTGGGATGCATGCATGCTAGTTTGAATTACCTTAGGTTGTAGCTTTCCGTAATGTTCTTGGAGGAATAGATTATTGAAAGTAAGATGTATGCTGTGATTTGTTATGAGCGTTACTTGGATACTGCTTATATGCTTTTAGTTCCCATTTTATTTCATGCATATGTATATCTTTTTGCTGAATGGAGGATGGGAAAATTGCGAACTCTGTGCTCCGGGAGTTGATGGATGTTATCACCCCGTCGAGCTTGTATGATTACTTTGCATGAAATGTGTTTGAGGTTTTTGGATATTAGTTATGTACGTACTCGGTTATTTTCATGGCCACCTTTATGAATAAGACTAGTAGACTATGGTTAGAGCGACAAGCCATCAAGGGATAGACATAACCTTTTCCTATTAGTTTAACAGACCATCACGGCACATGAAACATCCTTAGAGTACCCTTAGGCTACTTGTGTGTGGATGGTGATATAGCTTCGTGGGGGACCAGCGGGTTCCTGATCAGGACTCGATTGCTCGATAGCCGTTTAGTATGGGAAACGGGATACCCACGTCGTAATTGACCGTTTAGCTGGATGGAATAGGGGAGGTAGCCCTCCCAAATACAGGGGGATTATCATGGGTCTAGGGGGTTGCAGCTCACTTCCTAGGCAAGACCCCAGATAATCTCATACCCATGCCGAGGTAGCCACTCGTAAGGCACCAGTCCAACACAGGTTAGCATAAAAGGAACTCTATGGGTTTAAATAAAAGGTCTA